CGAAAAATTTCGCTACCCACCCACCAACAATTCACGGACAGCAAAGGGAGGAAGACGCAGAGCAGAACAGATCTGGAAATTCTGGGTTTAATAGGTGTTCTAGAACAAGAAAATGGGGAGAAATCCCCAAGCTTTACAGATGTTTCTGGCCGGAAATGGGTGGCGGTGGCTGCGGCTCTTGCCGACTGCAGGGGAGAAGAAACAGAGCAGAAACACGTGGGTCTGATGAGGAAGAAAAGAAAGAAAGAAAAAAGAGAAAAAGGAAAGCAACTGATACTTATCCTAATTTCTTTTCTTTTTAGTCCCCTAAATATTGAAAATTTTGCTATTAAGCCCCTCAATAATATTTTCTATCACCAAGGTCCTTACTCAAATGCTAAAATATCACCAAATTTTGGAATATTACATCCATTCAAGGGTCTAAGTTGCTCTTGACTTTGCATTTGGTTGGTGCTTGGTGAATAACTGAGGTAAGTGGCTTTATCTTTTTTAGGAATGTTGGAAAAATAAATTATTCTTTCATTTGTTATTGTAAAATAAATTTATTTATAAATGTTTAATTATTTTCCTTATGGTATTTCTTTTAGAATGCGTTTATTTTTAAAATTTATGTGGATCAAACATGCTGGCTGTTAAATGTTGAGAAAAGGAAATTTGACAGCTTTGTGACATGAAGGCTTTGGAATTCAAAATTGATTTAATATTAAGGTAACTTGTTTTGCATGGAGCGGCTAGACAACCCTACCATGGGGGTTAAATCAATAGCAACTATTTGACTTGGATTTCATTTTAGATTGTCATACCATAATAGATTATCAAATGGTAAACCATGCTAAACTATCAAATGGTTCATTTTATTCATCGTATTAGATTATCGAACAACAAACCATATTGGGATTACCATCTAGTTGATATTCTTATGCTACAGCAATGAGGGATTGAGAGGTTATTTTGTGGATGAGTTTCTTATTACCTGTTTTGTTTAGAATAATTTTATTATTATTTATTATCACTTTTTACTAAAGATATTTATACTTGATCTTACTTGCTAGGTATGCTATTTACTGTGCATGTAGAGCTCACATTGTTTTATTTAACATTTTTCATATACTAATTATGGAACATCAAGGATGCAAGGGAAATAGAGAGTTGCCTTAGAATTAGATTTATTTACTTCTTTCCTTTTATATTTAGCAAGTCATGGATAATTGAAACAAAGATATTTTATTTTAGTGCTAGATAAAGTTGAGATCTTGGCTTAAAGTTGGCTTTAAATGGTGGACAATTATTGGTAATTTTTAAAAAAATAAAGAATAATTTTATGTAAAGTTGCGTGATTGAACTTAGAAGATAAACTTAACATTACATGCTCTTGAGGTTACTCCTAAAGGCATGTGGCGTTGTTATATGATGACCCTTAGGATTAGGGCGTGGCAATAGCCACAAAATCGTACCTCTCCACTTAGATCTTGTAATACCCATAAACCCATCTCATATAAACAACTAGTAGTCCAACAACCATGGTTGACGAAGAAAAGACGATGAGCCCGCTTACGTGGAAAAGACCACACCTCTTTGACTGATAGAAAAAATAAAGAGAAGAAAAATATAAAGATATATGAAGAAAGAAACTCTTTCTTTCTTAATTTCACTGAATAGGTGCTTATTTATAGGTCTGTACAAGAGAATATTCTATGGTACAAAATCAATTAACTTAATTATATTAATCAATTATAATGTGAACCCAATCAACATAATTATAATATGAATATTTTGTAACATCCCCCTTCAAACACAAGGTGGTGATGAGGGGACTAGCTTGAGTTTGGAAAGAAGAGTGCGGAAGCGTCCATGAAAGTGAGGTTTTGGTGAAAAGATCTGCATACTGAATATGTAGATCAGTGTAGTTGACGTCGCTAAAGGAGAAAGAGGTAATATTAGATTTGGGCAATAGAAATGTTGAAAGTTCAATTGCGAAAAATCAAGAGCAAAATCAATAGCAATTGGATGCGAGAAGGCTGGAGCAACATTGGCCATGGAAGTAACACGTATTTTTGACGCAACAAAGGAATAGGATCAAGAAAACCCAATTGCAAATAAGTCCAAGAAAGAAAGCAAAGATGATGATGATCGGCACCACCTACAAGCAAATCAGCAACTCACAAAGAAGATGAATAGTAATAGTAAAAAAAGCCTCAAGGCAATGATACCATGATAGAAAAAATAAAGAGATGAAAAATATAGAGATATATGAAGAAATAAACTCTTTCTTTCTTAATTTCATTGAATATACAAGGTGCTTATTTATAGGCTTGTATAAGAGAATATTCTATGGTACAAAATCAATTAACCTAACTATATCAATCAATTATAATGTGAACTCAATCAACATAATTATAATATGAATATTTTGTAACATTGACTAAAGGTTGGGTTCTTTGGTTAACAAAGTCAAAGAATCTTTTTTATTGTATATATATATATTTGATTAGATTCTTATTAATTTTAAATTTATTTTTTTGAGGAAATAATTTCATGAATTGGTTTTCTTCTAAATCAACAGAGTATGTAATTGAAAATTTAGCACAACTACATTGTTTGGAAGATAATGCTATCGATTTTCCCTTGAATTTTCTATATTGTTTCCTTTTTCCCCATCTTCTCTCTCTCTCTCTCTCTCTCTCTTACACCTGAGAACTTCAAGGAGTTTAATGCTAACAACATTTGAGACACCTTCAAAGTCCTTCTCCAAATGGGTGTCATCCTCATGTTTGGTGGACAAATGCTTGTAATCAAGGTATTGTTTTTTGGTGTTAAAATTAGAAATTTTTTCTTCTTGGTGTGCTCTTGATCTGTTGTCATGCTTATTTTTATTTCTTAATTCTGATAAATTTTCATATATAACATAAGCTTGATTGTGAAACTAATATTACTATATAGGTTGTTTTATGATTTGAAAACATGACAACTATTAAGGGGTAGATAGGATAGACTCAAAAAGCTAATTGTAGCTAATATTGGTAAAATTTAGAGTTCAGCCTCATCGTTCAAAAGATTGGATAAGAAGTATCCATCTATCAAATATGGGCATCTATTAATTTCACCCATTGTCTTTGGTGTAGTTGGTTTAGCTCATCTCTTATAAGTAGGTTAGTTATTATTCTTTAGTAATCTTCATGAATTGTTTAAAACACAATTATGCTATTGAATTCTTTGACTATATTTATTTTGTTCTATTTTAATTCATTTCATGTGCTTTAATTAGGTTTTAATATTATTAAATTGGATTTTTCTTTGAATTAAGTTTATGATAATTGCTATTGTTAATTTTAGTTGAAAGTTTCATGAGTAGAATGGGTCATATAATAGCATTCCATCCTTAAAATAAATAACAGGTGGTTGGATGAGAAGTGGGCCAAGTGGGGAGCATTTAAGACCCACTTGACTAGGACTTCTTGAGGCATATCACTAAATTAGCTATTTCTTATATTTTTGCCTACAGTTGGACCAAAGGAGAGGGAGAAAGACAGTGTAGATAAACTGAGCAAACTTGGAGAATATTGAAGAATTCTGCCCAGCTCAAGATTTTCAAGAAAGCGTGTGGTAAGTGTGATTCTTAATTTTAAGTTAAGGTTGCCAAACAAAGTTTAAAGGTAAGTAAAACAACAGAATAAGCATAAGAAATTAAGCTACTATAGTTTAAATTACATGACAAAATAGAGAAATAAATATAGTAGTGAGTTGAATTAGAAATTTCTTATGCTGAAACTGTGAAATTTTTACAATTCAAGTTGTGAGATTAATATGTTATGTATATCACCTTTTCTGGACTATGCCCTGTGTATTTAACTTGAGCACTCCATTATAGCCTATTTCTATTAGTTCTACAAACCATATTAAGTAAACACTGAAAATTGTTATGCATGATTATGTGCTATATATGGTGCTGTTATACAATTGTCTTAGAACTATGGAGATTTTGGATCCTAACCTAGGCTTAGGGGTTAGAACAGTGAATTAGTGAGCCTCTGCGCAGTAGGCAAGTGCTATGACTAACTCTAGCACCTAATGTGAGTGCATGCACATTTAAGTGGACACCATAGTTTGTGTTATTTTTATTTTGATGTGCTATTTTTATTTTGATGTGCTATGTTGGTGTGACCATTTGTGGCTGCAATGCCTTAATTTTCTATAGGGTTGGTACAGCAAAGAACTAAAGGAAATTTTTCTGCATAAAACACTAAGATTGAATTGTCAACTTAACTTAAGATTTAGAATTATGCTTATTGGGTTGTGAGCTCATGGCATTTTTTCCCACCATTTCAACTAGTGGCGGCAAAGAGTAGTTGTCATTCCTAAGAATTTTTTGTGGGTGGAGGCCCTATACTAACTGTAAGCTATGCTTTTAAAATTAGTAAGGCAAATCTATATCTGCCCAAAACTTTCATTTGGCTCTATAATTTTAAACCTATCTATACTGTATTGAGCCTAGGAATAGTATATAAAATGACTCTTTTGATTTTATAGATATTTTTTGAATTTTTCTTTCCTTAGTTGTGCAGTACACCTCCCTACTTGATAAACCTTTAGTTTATCAAAAAAGGATGTTACACACAAGCTCTTGAGTTTCCTTTAAGCTGGACTCTAGAGATGTAGGAAGCAGTGTAGTTGGGGTAATGGTGTTTCTAAGCACATGCTTTTACTTTTAGCTTTTTCATGCTTTGAGAGCTTTAATTCGCCCCATTTAATGGCTGCAAAAGAGTGTCTAAGCAAAAATCAAGAAGTTGCAAATTATTCTAGTCTATGTAATGGATGTTTAATTTCTAGCAAATTATTCACCCCATTTAATCCCAACGACCTAAATAGTTTAGTGATCATCTCTTTTTGCTAGAAGTAAGAGGTCTTGAGTTCGAGTCGCATGGCATGTGAATGGGGTGGAATAAGAGATGAAAGATGGTTACTTCTCATTGTGCAACCAAGATAAAAAAAAAAAAAATTTCTAAGCACGTGCCCATGTCTTCATTAACTCTTTTAGTTGTTGTTAAACAAATATTTATTTAAAATTGAGAATATGTTATCTAGTTTTGACAATGTTAAACAAACTAGTAAAAATAAAATTAAAAAAAAAAAAAGAATTTGACCTTTGAAAGTTTGATTTATTTGACTAGAATTTCAAATAAATGCTTATTAAGTTAAATTAAAAAAGTTAAACTCATACTAGGATAGTTAATCAAAGTTAATTATGATTAATTAAAAATAATTAGCCATCTTAATTAAACCCTAATTAACTTAAGGGTTATTATAACATGTGTCCATATTTATTATACATTTTTATCATTAATTTGTATAAAAAATTAAGAAAAAAATTTTACTTTTAATGTTAATACTACGATAAAATATTTTAATTAAATCATCAATAAAA